AGTTGGTGCCTAATAAAGATAGTATAATATTTATTTTATTTTTATTTATTTATTTATTTAATAAATATTATCTACAATACATTGTTTGGTATTGTTTTATCTACAACCTAACCCAACATAATAATTTCAATTATGTTCCAAAACATATCAAGAGTGGTCTCTATTTATAGAGTATGAAAAAATACGAATTTTGGTATTTTTTATTTTATTTTTTAAAATAAAATAATATCAATAATTTGAGTTATACTTATCTTATCATATAAAATTTATAGCGGACCATTGAAAATAGGACAAGTGTCTCATTCCTATTGTATGAAAGTTAGATAATATGAGATCTCCAAAAAATCTTCATGTAATCTTTTTATTTAGATTTTTTAATTTATTCTTTTTTTTCAAAGTTTTCAAAATTGGTTGGATGGCGCTCAGATTTCAACTTTTTGCCAAAAATCTTTCACATTTTATTCACTTTGGGCGGGAATTGGCTTCTTTTTTTTGCTGATTTTTTTCATCTTTTTTCAAATAAATATCATTCCCTCTTTATATATTAATAGATAAGAAATGAGAAGGCCATGGAAGAAGGGTTGGTCTGTTTATCTTCTTCTTCTTCTTCATACTACGAAGATTTTATAAGATCACTTAATTGCGTAGGTATGTTCATCAGCTTCCTACTTCAACGATCTTATAAAATCACTAAGATGAAACAAATTGCGTGCAAGAAACAAAACCTCATGTAGTCAAAATAGTTTAGATATATGCTTTAATTTCCGTTTCAAATTTCACTTTTTCTTTCTTAAACTTGTTCATTACTCATTCCAGCCACATTTAGTAAGTGATTAACATTATGGGTCATGCAGTGAAAAAGGGCCTTAAATGCTTTATTTTCTGGTTTATTCATTTGTCTAATACTCTTTACTGTACATATAATACAAACTCATGTATTGCAGAAAATGCCAAGGTCCTGTAATATATATGCAACCCATGCCTAGTAAGTGACTCTGGTTTACCTGACATGTGGACTTATTATAAAACCAGCATCTGTTTACCATTTTCAGCAGATGAAGATGAAAGAAACTCCCTGTTGTGGGGCTTCAGAAGCATCTCGTGTTCACAGGCGAAAGGAACTGCGGGTCTAATGCTGCCCGGGTTAAGTGGGAAAAGGATTTTGTAGTATCCATCCATTATTGCTCCTAAATTGCAAGTTGCTGCAACTTTCGGAATCTGTTCTTGAAGACAAGGAAGATGTGTTAGAACGTCAAAAGGCATTCTATATGTCTATCAGCAGAATTTTACGGGTAAGGGTTGTCATACAGATTCATAGTATTTATTGAAGATTTCTCCTCTCATTCTTGCATAATTTAGTCAAAAAGTAGGGAGCTTTCTAGTTTAACTAACTACATGCCCTTGCAGAATATCCACACGGTACCTGGTAAATATCCCGCATGTACCCATGAAGATTTGGATACTCGATCAGCTTCTTTTTGGTGCACTTGAACAACACGTTGTACACGGGATCAAACCTAACTAGCGTCGTGAACAAGCACACATCTGCAAGCGTCAACGTGTCACCACACAAGTACCGACTACTACCCAAATGCTCTTCCACCATATCTAACGTCGTGAACAAATCATTTACGGCTGCATCATATGCTTCTTGGCTCTGGGCGAACCCACACCTACACAATCAATCCCAAACCTAAAGACTAACTAACTAAAAGACCTTGACACATTACAAAATGCAAATATACTACTCAATGTAGTTACCTATAAACTCCGTTGTTGACGTTCGGGTAAATTACCCGATTCCACTCGTTAATCTTCTCCTTCAAGTGCGGAGGAGAAAGATCCAATCCCGGGTTGGAAGATACATTGTTCATTTCAGAGTTGAATATCTGGATAATATCGTAACTCTCATTACAGAAGACCTCCCTCCGATTGCAATCCCAAAGAATCGGGACTGTGGACCGGCCTCTGTACCCTCCGAGGCGAAGATTGTAAACCTCCTTCAGGGTTTTGCACCGGTTGGCCTTGTCCGGGCCGGGTACAAGATAATTGGGGATAGAGTTTTCATTTTCAGGGGCACTGGTGTTACTCTCCTTGAACTGCCAGGAGCCGTCCTCACCTGGGGCGGCGATCGAGACGGGGATGGAGGATTCGAGGCCCTTGAGGGCGCGGACGATTAGGGTTCGGTGGGCCCAGGGGCAAGGGAGGCCGACGTAGAGATGGAGGTCCCTGGGCGGCGGGGAATGGGGAGAGGGGCGGCGGAATTGGGAGGCGGGGCGGGAGTAGGCGCCGGTGGAGGGGTCGGAGGGGGCGATCTGGGACATCATGAGGTTCCAGGCGGCGGACCAGGCGGAGCGGGCGCCGGAGATGAGGAGGTTGGGCGGGAGGGACGGGCCCCAGAGGAGTTTAGCGAGGTTGGTGACGGGGTTTGGGTTGAGGGACATTTGGATTGCGGTGTGGCGGCGGTTGGAGGTGGAGGTGGTGGTGGTGGTGGTGGTGGGGGACGACGGGAGGAAGAGGGGAGAGCCGAGGAAGGAGGAGGTGGGCATTTTTTGGTGATTGGGCTAAGTTGTCTGATGTGTGGCACTTGGGCGTTTTCTCTATCAATTTACTATTATGTGATTGTGTATGACATAATTCTTTTCAAACAAGTTAGTTACATCCTCCAAACCGAAAAAAATACCAAGACGTCAAATTTACACGAGGTGGTAATAACATAAAATCATGAATTTCCTGTGGAGATGCTATCATGGATTTGTCAGCACAAATATGCAACTCTTAAAGAAAGGGATGCCAGTCGATACCACTTGTATTTTTGTGGTGAAGAAAATGAGGACCTGAAACATGTGTTGATCTCATGCCCTAGGGCAAAGCTCTGTTGGAAGTTAGCAGGTATCACCTGGTCAACCTTTGAATTGCAAGAGTGTTCTTTTCAGAGTTGATGGATGGAGATATGTACTGCCAGAAACATCAATGATATGGAGAACAGTATTTGTGTTTCAACTTATCTCATGTGGAGGCTTTGGTGTTCAAGGAACAAGTGGAATTTGAAAAAGAGTTTGAACTTCTTCTGGTGGCACATGCTCAGCAGGACATGAGAGAGTTTGCAGATGCACAATCAAAACACTCAATGGGCCGAGGCCAGTTTCCTAATGTCCATATCCCTGAGGAGAATCAATTTTCCATGGGAGTAGGATAGTTTCTGCTTTCTGTCAGTGCTCAAGCTTCTTCAACAAGGAATGTGGGATTGAGAGTTGCTATTTACACGAAGGACCGGTTGTTGCATGAATGGAGAGCTATATGGCAGGGGTCGATTCAAGATGAGGATGCTGCTCTTATTGTTGTGAGATGGGTGATGGAAAAAGTTGTGCTAGAAGGATGACAGCACATTGTTTGTACAGTTCTCTTAAATCGTGTTGCAACTTCTGAACAATTTGAATGTGGCTCTTTGTAATTCTAATATTATTTTAGAGGATATTCGTTTGCTTTGTGGGTCTTTTTAGTCGTGTTTGTTTAGGTTTTCTTATTCTTGTTTCTCAAGTAAATCTCTAGCTATGTTGGCTTTGGAGGGAGAATATGACTCCGTCCGCTTGTACTTTGCTTGAGTTATAATATTTTCATTTCCGTTGGGAAAGAAAAAAAGGTAATAACATAAAATCCCAAATTGCCGAAAGGGTAAAAATCCCAATAAATTAAATATCGAAAAGAAACCAAATAAAATAAAAGATTTATTTTTATTATATAGATAGAAACACATTATCACACCTCGACAACAATTATGAAAAACGAAGTAGCTCCTAAGTTGAATCTAGTGGGAAGAGTATTATACAGATGTAGTATAAAACTAACATAATTCACACTAATAATATTACTCCCATAAGTGAGAGTACACGTTCCCTAAACGCTCCTGTGAAGTAGAATAATTACCAAAACAAACACAAACACTTACAAAACTAACACGTACCTAAACAACAAAACATGCAACAACTACAATAAAACCCTACTCAACAGTCGACTTGATTCTCCAAACATCCAACACGAGCCAACACCGGCAACGAACCCAAGAAAAGCAAAACCACGGCCCCAAATGTAGATTTCGAAACTCTTATCTCCCAAAAAGAAGCTGATTATCTACATCCGACAACACTCGAGCTAGGTCCCTCTTCCCAAGGGATCCCCATTAAAACCACACTCGAAGGCCAAAACCCTCACTCTTCCCCCAAAACACCCTCAAATACCACAATGCCAAACACCCCAGGCAGCCAAGCCCGTCGGATCCCAGCCCTAGGGAAATCAAACAAGGTTAAAAAAAATAAGATGCGTCGTCCCAATCCCCGTCCACCACCTGAAGAGAACAATGGTTGCCTCCCTCCACGCCGCCAAGTCGCTAGAAATCCCCGTCCCAACCATCCATTGTCAAGCGTCGCTCCGGGAATAAGAACATAGTCAAGACGGAGTGGAAGAGGACACCCCGATGCCCGTTAGGCCCGTGAAGGATCGTAGCCCACGACTGAAAAGAAGGCCACAAAAAACAAGGGTTTCAGCTGTTGAGTTTGGGGGTTTTTCCATATGAGGTAGGAAGAGAAATTGATGTGAAAATCTAACGGATCTTGATTAGAGTGGCGGTAGATGGAGTGGTAGTTGTTATACTCATTCTCAGAAGTCAAGCCCATCTGAAATAAAACAGGGACCCTGACCCAAGAATGATCCATCCCACAAGGCATGTCAAACCGACCCAAACTGCTAAGATATGTGTCGATTTCCTACACCTAACTTCATGTCGATTTCTCATTAAAAGTGTGTCGATCTCTCCAAGGATCATCACCGATCTCTCTGCAGAGTGTGAACACCCTCTGCCAACTGAACCAGTAAAGCCACCTCCTAACTAGTCTCGTCATGAAAAGCCAAAATATACTTCTCATCCTCAAAAGTTGGATTTTTGCATGGCTACATGGGTCGACCAACTAATTCCTAAGGTGGCACACCACTATTATTGTATTTTGCTTTTTACACATTGTTGATACCCGATTTGGCTGTGATTAATAAATAAAGTGACGTGGAAAAGTAAACACAGGGTACAATATTGATGGGTCTCCTCTCCGATCTGGAGTGAATCAATGGAAACAAGCTCAGATCTGAAATGAACCGATGGAAATGAGCTCAGATCTGACTCGATCGCCTTCGAACCGTTGTTGGACTGCAAGAACACCTGCAAGAACTCAACGCCGGAGGGGTTTCTGGCGTAGAGCCTCCGACGCTCAAGTCAGTATGTGAAAGAGATGAAGAGAGCTGCTCTGAGAGAGCTGCAGCAGTAATGGAGGAGAGTATAGAATGAATGGGAGTTAGGGTTTTGGGGTTACCTCAGCTCCTTTATATAAGAGCAAGACACTTACCTGAAGTTCCCAAAATGCCCCGGCCGACTTACTGGAAATGGCCAAAATGCCCTGGTCGGTCCGTATTCCATCCCTCTCCTAGTCAGCATCTAGATTCCTTCTTATCCTTAATGGACTTTCCTATGATATATTGAAGTTCATTGGAGTCGTCGTGGATGTGCAAAATGATTCGCATCTTCCATGTTGAAAGTGATGGGGTAGTTCCAGGCATTGAGACGCAGATCGGTGGTGAAAACACGCTTGTCCGAATTATAGGCTTGCCGGGCGTAAGCTTTGACTTGCCGACGAGATGAGGTTCCTTGGGAATTATTTGTATTTACTCGGTGGATAGTAATTTGCATTGACTAGGAGATCGGCTTCGTTTACGTCCTCGTGAGCTCCCAGTCGTCTCATCACTGAGCATTTCCGAGGTGAACATGAATACTTCTTTTTCTCCTTCTCGGATTCGTTTTGGCATAGCACCTCGGTCTTCATCCTCGTCTTCATCGTAAGGTTCGATTTGGCATCCCGACCCCCGTTTCTGAGGGTCGAAATTGCGGTAGAATTTTCTGAGTTGCGGATGACCGATTAAATGTAACAGGGCGACTAACAGGCTTAAACACTCATCAGTGTTATGTCCCGGTGACTTATGATAGTCGCAATACCGAGATTTGTCCAGCTTTTCTTCAGGCATCTGAAGTGGTTTAGGATCAGGTAGGATACCTTTTCCTTTGATCTCTTCATAGATGGTGGCAGCACCAGTTGAATAAATGGTTTGGTAGCCGGATTTTACATCAGTAGCGTACTGTCTCCGGGCCGCCCTGATTTCGGGATCGTTGGCGTCTCCCCAGGGGTAACCTCGAAATTGAGCCTTGTTTTGCTTATCAAAGGATTTATTTTTCTTCTTGTCGTCGGTTCCCGACTTGGATGACTTCGGATTGAAGTTAAAATCAGGGACCGACATCGCCTCCTCGGCGATGATATGTTGTTGGGCACGCGCAAGAAATTTCTGGAAGGTGTTTGGCTTGTTCTGACATAATGTCCAGCGAAAAATATAATTCTGTTTCAGTCCCGCAATAGCCATAACAAGCAGGGTTTCGGGATGACATGGCTCCATATTCTGAACTCGGTCATTAAATCGAGCAATATAATCCTTGACACTTTTATCTTCTTTTTGAGTTACATTCGCAATGGATTCTTTCGGAACCAAACAAACTTGGGCCCCAATGAAGTGAGATCAGAAAGCCGACCTTAACTATTGCCACTTCCAGATTGAATGAGGGGGCAAAGAGTGGTACCATTTTTGAGCTCGAGGCCCCAGCGTAAGAGAAAACATACGACATCGAAGTGCGTCCGAGGCTCTATGGAGGTCCATCCACGACGTATAGTGACCGAGGTGGGAGTCGGGATCCGAGGTCCCATCGTACAATCCGATTTGAGGGACTTTGACTTTGCCGGGCACAGGTTCCAAGGTGAGCTCTGGAGTAAGAGGGGAGTCGACTTCCAGATAGACTTGCGCCGAGGTGGAGGCCCGTCAAGGGGGATCTTCTTGTATTCTTTGCCGACTCTCTAATTCGGTGATTCTTCGTCGTAACGTTTCAAGTTCAGAAGACTCTTGTCGAGCTCGGTTCCTTTCAATATGTTGACGAAGATCTGTCTGCGCCGGGTTGGAATTAACTCGGTTTCGTACAGAAGGTGGCGAACACCGCGAGTGTCCAGATTGACTCTCGGCTGTTTCTTCATGAGGTGGTAACTGAGGAATACGTACGACATCAGCAGGTCGTGCAGTCTGTTCTGGGTGTAGCCGCGGTGTTCGAATGCGAGGCTGAGATGTGGCGTGAGAGGCGGCTCCACCACCGTCTTGTCGCGTAGGTGGGATCTGCGGATTAGCAGGAGTCGTGGGAATTATAGAATGTCCTGGAGCCGTCATGGACGTTCCGGGTATCGTCTGAGCCATCAAAGTGGCGAATCCACGTGCAAATTCGGGATTTTGAAACAGAATGGCATAATCAGGCATGTTAGGGACCGCCGCTTGACGTCTGGCGGATTAGGCGGCATTATGGCTGTGGCCATCCCGTGACGTATGACCACGATGATCTGAATGAGACATGTTTGCTACGATTGATGTGGCTAAGAAGCCAAAGATTGAAGATTAACCTCAAATAACTTATGATGCC